ACAAACTCCCACTGGTAGGCGTCAGTAATAGTGCCAGTGTTTACAACTCCCACTGGCAGGCGTCAGTAATAGTGCCAGTGTTTACAACTCCCACTGGTAGGCATCAGTAATAGTGCCAGTGTTTAACCCCATAGGCAGGGTGAACAGGTTCCACAGAAATACATGTCGACATGTGCTAGCGTTTACAGCTCCCACTAGCGGGCATCAGTAATCATGACTATATCCGAGACAAATCCATGCAAGATTTACAAAAAAGCCCGAATTTCACAATCAATCCCGAATTTCAGAACAAACCGGAAAATTTCCATGCGGGCATGGATTTAACAGAAAACTCAACATTTACAAAATTCTCAGTTCATCAAAACAGTTCAGTCAATTCCCAAATAGGCATGTTCAACTCCAGAAAAACAATGAAATTCCCATTTTCATTTCTCAATCATGCTCATTTCCAGAAAATCAATAAAATCCTCATTTTCATTCCAATCATGCTCAATTTCAGAAAAACAAGGAAATTCTCAAGAAAATCATCCAAATTTTCATTTCAATTTAATCACACTCAGATGTTGATAAAATCAATTTAAAATCAATTTAAACCTTGCCACCATCTCAAAAACAATTGAAAACATGCTTTAAAATCGAAGGGCTTTACCATAATTTACTTACCTCACTCGCACAAAACCGAGCACTCAATCTCAATGCTAATTGACAGAACGATCAGCAACCTAATCAAAACACCTCAAAATTAATACCGGGCTATCACAAATTTAAACTGAAATCATCATTAAAATCACTCCTAATCCTGATGCTATTCCTATCAATCTCCACATAACTGGACATCTCCACATTCATTCTTATATCACAAACTAATCATTTAAATCCCCGTTAATCGTTGACCCTTGGTGTGTGAACAGTGTTCTGTGAACAGTGTTTGATGAACAGTTCCACGACGTGAACAGTACTGCCACTTCCAAACATTAGCCAAAACACTAGCTAATCACGAGGTTTTCTTTCCAAAAATCACACAACAGTCAATTAACACTCAATTACCTAAATTCCACTTAAATCAATACTTAATTTCATCCTAAAGCTACCGGAATTCCTCCCCAATTTCAGCCAAATTCGGACATCACAGGGGCAGCCAATTAATCAAGCTAATTCTACCTTAATCAAGCTTAAAAACAATGGTTTAAGGCTGCCACATACCAGAATTTACAAGCAAGGAACCGGAGCTAGCAGATTGGGGAAGGCCGGCTGGATTTGCAAGGGAAGCTCACGGAACTACCCAAAAATTGGAGGAACAAGAGCAATTAAAGTAAACCCAACCTAAATCAAGGTGAAAGAGAGGGATTCATGGCTAGATCTTACCAGAAAAAGGCCCAAACTCTCACACCCACATAGCAGCCGGCGGACAAGGGAGAAGAGCAGAACAGGACCGGGATTTTCTGGGTTGAGGGAGAAGATTCTAAGCCCCAAATCTTGTGATTGAACAAGAAAGAAGGAGAATTTCAAGCCCCTTTTTCGGTTTTCAAAGGAAGAGGAAGTCGGTGGCTTTGGGGGGGTTTGTCGGGCTGCACAAAGAAGAAGAGCAGAGCAGAAACGTGTATGGCTGGGAAGAAAAGGAATGAAAATATCAGTTGATCCTTATCCTAATTTCCTTTCTTTTTAACCCCTCAACTTTTTAAAATTGTGCGATTAAGCCCCAAAACAATATTTTCCCTCATATAAGTCCCTTATTTAATGCTAAAATATCCCCAAAATTTTGGGATATTACATTTCTAATTTCCCTTATCCATGTATGATATTAGGACATAATGTTTTAATGTGTATTCTATCTCATGACACTTTAATTATGATATTAGGTTATGTTCTTATATTTATATGTTTCAATTATATGTTTTTATATATATTTAGAATATAGAACTAATTAACTGGTAAAAATTTTATATAATATTATTTATATAAATCGTAGATCAAAAGTTTGAAACAATTAAGTAAAAAAGAAGAGAAAACAAAAAAAAGCAAGAATG